TGCTCCGGTGCGGGGACAGAGCGCGGCGTAGCCAGAGATTAAAAACATGGTAATTTTATAGACAAAGCCCCAAGTACAGCTGTACTGCAGAGAACACAAAAGCTGCTGTAGTGGCCGTGATCTGCTGCCAGTGTGAGCTCGGAGTTAGGGCAGTCCTGGAAAGGGGGGTTTATCCGACGGAAGCCATGATGACATCCACGGGGAGCTCCTCTGCGCTGCGGGCCGTCACCTGCATGGTCACCGTGTCAGTGAGGACAAGACGGGAGCGCACCAGGAGGTCATGGCCACCCCGGAACACACCTGGAGAGAAGGGGAGGAAGGGGTGAGCATGTTGCAGGCTGCTCTCCTCTGCAAGCCTGAAGATGAACACTATTGCTTGGCATAGGCAGGTTTCCCACAGGCCGTCTGGCAAATGCTAGTACTGAACAAGGAGAGACTCTAAGCAGCTCAGTTCTCATTCATTATGACATATCTGGGACTCCTACTACTGTAAAACCCATGAAACCAAAGTGTAAAATAAATTCCAGGTGAGAAGAGATCCAGAGCTCCAGTACCCATCTGTTCTGCTGGGTGAGGCTGCTGTCTTTCCCACACCAGGCTTGCTCCAAAGCAGGGTGCCACAGATCATGAAGACAGTAAATTCCACCCAGCTGAGTCTGGGGCTGATCCCAACATCCCCTCCCACCACAACACCCTCCCTGATCCCAAGACCAGTTGCTCTGCACTGCAGAGACAGAAATCATGGCAGGAGCAAACCTCAAAATCTAACCCAGAGCACAGTGGGCTCCATCAGAAATTCCTGCCCTGATTTTCAACAGGCAGCTCTGTGCAACCTCCCAGAGCTGCTCCTCAAGCAGAACCTCACCCCACAGCTCACCTGCCAGGTACAGTGTGTGAGAGTTCTTGTTATCTGGCACTTTATCTGACCGCTCACAGGGCTGCATCCCCAGGAACTTCACAATATTGCTCACTGCCTCTGTTAGAAAAAATAAATAAAATGGGCTCTGTGTGACAGATATCTTAACAGGGACACATAAAGAGCACCTAAAAGTGACTCAACCTCTCCCTACATATTAGAGTTCATGCTCCTTGTCCTGAGGGAGACACACCACTCTTCAGAATCATGGTTTTGGAGGCCTCAAGGACTGTAAAGACAACACACAAGAACTCCCACCATCATGGGAGAGTTCTGTTATCTGATGTAGCAAATGTGCAACAGAAAGAAGAGGGGGAGTCAGACAAGGGCAGAAGGAGAATGCAGCTGGCTGCACTTACTGCACAGCCCTGTCAGCCTGCTTGCTTCTCTGGACACTTGCAAAGGCAGGAAATGTCTTACAGGAGACACAGGTCTTCAGGGGAAATATGAAAAGGCCTCAGGGAGAGTATTTCAAACCCCAAGGAGCTGTTCAAGGGAGCACAGAAATGGCTACAAGACAAGGACACCCTGTAAGGCATCAAAAGAACTGAGTTTTCACAGGCTTGTGAGGAGGACTCTTTAATACATGATGAAAGAGAAAAGAGTTTACCCCACCAGCCTGCTCACCAACCTCATGTTTTCTGCTGTTTTCATTTTTTCTTACTGGTCTCAAGAAGAATGGTGGGAGTTCATAACTAAACTATAGTCTGTTTGCTTGAAGGGTTAAGTAAAAGAGCAAAGCAAGATATTCTCTTGCCTCCACCAGCCCGGTCTCCACTGATCACAAAACACTCATTAGTTTTCTTGAAATCTGAACTAACTTATTATCACAGTAACTGCAGCTCTCTATTCAACAGCTGTGCTGTAAAGTCTGTGAAGGGTTTTGCCCCATTATCCTTTCTGTGACAGATCTAAAGTGAGCCAGATTGGGCCTCTGGACTCTGCCTGCTAGAGGGAAAATAAGAGCTCTGCTGTGCTCACACACCCCCTCCGTACCTTCAAGGGTTTTAATAGCAGATAAAGTAAAGGTTTCTTCCTTTTCAAACTCATCACCCACTTCATCCCAGGCTGCTCCAAAGTTTGGCTTCAGAACTCGCTGGATGTGATCAGCCACTGTGACCTCCAGGTCTTCAAGCTAGTGGTAGAAGAGGTTCAAGTGAAACGTCATTGTTCTTAACCCTGTTATCCTCAGAGTGAATTTCAGACTGGATTCCCTGAGATCAGGTGATTGCAGGAGACTGACTCCTCTTCCACTTCTGGTTTGCTACTGAGCAACTGGTAGGTCTGAGAAAGGCACAGTGATGCCATTTGCAGGGCTTACAAACCAGGTTCCTGAGATGAGCACAGCCCTTGGTCTGACAGAGATCTAAGCACTGGACAAATGGCCAAAACAGAGGGAAAAGCAAAAGCTTAAAAATAGGTTCTTGAGCATTTTCTTCCCTGAAATGCATGTAAGCTTGTGTTTTGCCTCTCTGGCTTATCATTTTGTAAGCTGGTAAAGCAAGACACTGTCAGATGTGTGTGATCACCTAACACTGGCACCAGGGTAGCTGAGCAGCTGCTGTGACTGCACCTGTGCAAGGCAGAACAAGGCTTGTCCCTCCTGAGTGTGTAATGAAGGGCAGGCAGTGCCCTGCAGGACATCAGCCTGCATTATTTCCAACAACCGCTGCAGAAAAAAAAATCTCCTCCTGATTCTAGATGAAACACATGGAAGAGTTTGTTTAGGTATCACTCCATTGCCTTGCTGACTGGTAGGAAGCTGAAAGAAGCATTAACCTTGTATGTTCTATTGTGAAAAACTCTCCCCACTTCTTCTGGGAAGACAGTGACTCACTGCACAGCAGTGCTTCTGATCAGATTCACAGCAGTGACAGGCAATGCATAGAAAACAGTCTCTGGAGCTAACAGGCCAAGCTGAGGCTGTGAACAACATCCCTTTCTCTCCAAAGAAGAGAGGTGCTTCTGCAGTACCACTGCTTTCAGCAGTGTCAGTGCTGGCAAGGGAAGAGCTCCATCTTTCCCAGAATGAGAACAAGGATTGCAACTTTCCTATGCCAGGCAAACCTCTAGACAATTAACTGTGCCACCACAGGAGCAACTTGTGGAGAACCAAAGATGCCCAACAACCCTTTGTCTCCACAACCCCGAGTGTGCCATTGCTGGAGCCCATAGGGCACAGTCAGACAAACCTGGAGGATGCTCTCAAAACACACATATCTTGCACAGTCAGGTGTCCATCTACAGTGCAACAGGAGAATACTCCAAATGAGGCAAAGCAAGCTCTGCAAAGTCCCATCTGCATCAGAGACAGCAAGAGCTTCCTCTACATGATGCTGCCCACTTCAGTGTTGGTGGTCAAATCATTGCTTGCAGGGATCTGAGCTGAGATCACAGAATCGCACAAAATGACAGCAGTTTCCATGATCAGGTACATGCCCAGCTTCTTACCACATACTCATCCTCATAGCCCTCGTCGTCCGTCTCACCCGTGTTGGGATCACAGTCCTTGACAGTGAACTTCATCATGCAGCTGAATGTGCAGGCCACTGAAAACAACAAAGCAAAAGCAAAGCTCACATTTCCACCATATCCACACTCCCCTGAGGTAGAATGGGGCCTGAAGGTTTGGAGCAGTCAGGCTCTCCCTGTCACTGTCAGCAGCACAGGCTTACCCACTGACCTAGAGAGAGCTCTCCAACAGTTTCTGTCTCTCAAGGACAAGCTATTTATTTATAATATTAAGCAAACAGTGATAAAGACAGGCTCATGATAGTTGTACAAGACCATAATCCTCAGATCAAGCGCTATTACTAATGAACCTCAAATTGTGTTGTGAATACTAACTGAACATGTCCCACCAGCACCTTGTGAAGAGGCAAGATCCGCATACAGGGATCGGTTCATGCGCCTCTGAAATGAAAGCCCCTTGCACTGCAATGCTGCAGCTCATTAATACCACTCAGCTGGGAGAGGAAGTGATGACTCATCCCTAGAAGATGGGTACTGCTGAGTGAACAGCAGCAACACGACAGGAGAGCAGTTCCAGAGCATAACCCAGGGAGACCAAAGAACAGGTAAAGCCTGATTCATGTTCTGGATAGCAGCAAACAGGCAGTGGGATGTTCGATTCAAACAGAAATCCCATAAATTCTAGCAGTGTGTCTGAAATACCCCTTTGCTACTCAGAGCATCTGGGCAGTCTTAGCACTTTACAAGCATCAGCCTCCCCATGTCTAACACAAAGAAAGGCTGAAGGATATGCCAGGGTGCACAAAAGACAACTCATCTGCCAGCTCTCACAGCCCAACTTGGCAGTACTACAGCACAAGGGAACCAGCAGAAGAGAAGGAAGGCTTGACAGCCCCCAAAACTGCAAAGACAAGTCATGCTTAGCATTGCTCAGGGCTGCACCCACACACAGGCTATAAATATCAGGCTGGGATGTAAGGTAGAATGTGTGGGGATAAGCAATAGAGGAAAAAAGAGTGCAGACTGTTTACCTGCTGTGGGATCCTCTTCAGACAGTGCCACCAGTGTGTAGCAGGTACCTGGCTGGTTGTACACCAGGGTTTTGGCAGGTACATAGCCAATGACCTCATACCCCTCTGTTGGCTCCATCTGCACTGTGACATTCTCCAGGATCTGATCATTCAGGGTGTTTGTGCAGTCAAACTAAACAGGAAAGGAGAAAGCAGACACAGCTTGAAGCTGCTCACTACTCACTGAAGAGCAGACTTAGCTTAGGCACAGTGGGAACCTGGTTTCAGCCTGTGAACCTCCAGCTCTGTGTTTCCATGGTGCACCTCACTATCAGCTGGCTCATTACAGAGCAACTTGACTAAAGAGTGGTCATTTAAATGCTTTAGGGGGGAAACTAAAACCCTGCTGGGGAGTCCAGTGCTCCAGCAAACTTTTTTTTTTTTTTTTAAAGGAAACAAGACTTAAAAAAAACCAGTACACACCAATCCAAGGCCTGCCCTTTGCAATTCAGGCAGGATCATAAATTCAGTGAGGGCAGGGACATCTCAGATTTTGCCTGTTTCAGTTCCACCAGTTAGCATGGAACTTTTTCCTCCAATTTCCAGTCATTCCTGGGTTAATTCTTTGCTCTACAGAAATGCAGGTACTG